TATATATGTTTAAAATACGGTATTAAATAGTCTAGGGAGGTAATAGGTACTCATGAAAGTTTAGTATCGCAACAGCAAATCCGACCAAAGTTGGGATATTTTTCAAACCCTTATCCCCAAAATTAATGTTAAAAAATAGGTAAAAATTTAGAGGAGAACCAAAAATGCACCAATATTGCAAACATGAGGGACTATTAGTGCTTCATGTGAAAACTCAAGAATGACTTTGAGTCTTAACCCAAAGATGATGGGACTATTTTGGGCCTTCTCTCAGAGATATAATATCACAAGCATAAAACCTTTCTTTATTTTCTTCTGTCTTTTTTTGTTTGATTTATAGAAGACAATTGATCAATATATAGTTGTAACTTTTCGAATAGAGACTAATACCTAATTATCGTGAGATGGATGGGACTCCTTACACTCTTAATATCTTGTTAAGAACGTCACCTTAAAAAATTAAACCTTATAATTCATAATCTAAATTCCGACAATCATTATGGAATAGCAAAAACTCATATTCAAAGATATATAAGTCAATAAAAAAAGACGGTGAAAGTCTCAGTGACCACCACAAAGAGACTCTTGCTCATACTTTAGCTTTATTCGAAAATATGATGGACCTTCTTAAAGAAAAGAACGTATTAACTACTCCCTCCGTTTCAAAAAGATTGGTCTGGTTTGAATTGGCACAAAATTTAAGAAATTAAAGAAGACTTTTAAATCTTGTGGTCCTAAATTAAAGTTATGTCAAATGTATAAAATTGCCCTTAATCTTGTGGTCTTAAATATGCCACGTGGAAAGCAAAAAGTAAAATGTTACCAAAAAAGGAAAGAGGTCATTTTTTTGAAACTGACTAAAAAGGAAAGGAGGTCATTCTTTGTGAAACGGGGGAGTATTAAATATTGAACCGAATAAGAAAAAAAAAAGTATAAAGTTGTCTCCCTCTTAATGATGAAAACACCTTTGGATGCTGGCAGAATCTAACCGTTGGTTTATCTAACTATATAGTAATCATTGTCTTCCCTACAATTTTTTCTACTTTAACCCCTTTTTTTTCCAATCATAATCAAATTCTCTAATTCACGTGTCTTAATTTGACAAAATATAAATTTAAAATTTTTTTCTTAAATTTTATAATTTTAAATTAAAAATATATATAATTGTTTAAATTTTGTGATCTTAAATCTATTATTGAATAACTTACTAAATAACAAAAGATACACTCCTTTTAAAATAAATCGAAAAAGAAAGTAAGAAGTAATTTTTTTCAACAAAAAATTAAATTTGAAAAACAAATGGTACTGTATATACTTTAAATTTTGTGGGTTCCATGACATATCCAAAGTAGGGACTAGTAATCAAATTCCATAGAATATGCCATTGATTCTGCTTTCTCTTTTTCTTTGTCTAGGATACTTTTCTTGTCATATACATATATCAAGAAATTAGGAAACACTCATATTGTTAACCGATAAAATCACATATTGATAGTTGAAAATAGAGTAAATGGCCAAAAACATCTTTTAATTATACCTCAAATTCAAACTACATCCTTATATTATTATTGTGAACAAATAATATTTCTGAACTATTTTGAAAGTTACAAGTTACATCCCTCCTTAATTTTCTGTCAAAAATCTAATGACCATCTCCTAATGAAAAGAGATTTTGTCCCCTCACCGTCTTCTTAAACATAGAGCAAACATTTTCTTTGCTAGAAGGATTTGTGAATGAATTTGAAATGTTATTTGTGGAGCTTTTTTTCCTACGTCTATTAGACAAGTCATTTTTTTCATATTTTAATAACTTGTTTTCTTAGATAAAATATTTTTCAAAAACTTTGGCCAATTAAATATAAAAATTTGAAAATATATTTTAAAAAATTGTTTAGTTCAAATCCTTCTATTTCAATATCACATAAATTTTTTTATGTCCAAAGACAAATGTGCAAGGTTTACATCTGAATTTTATGTGTAAAGTCTTCATTTAATTAGTTGAGAGTATAGGAAATTTGGTGAAAGTTGTTGGAGGAGTAACGTACCAATTAGAAAATGAGAAAATAAAGCAAACTCGGAGTAGCATAGGATCAATGATTCTTGATAGGAAAGCTAATGACATAATAACAGTCTCAGTAAAATAAAAAAAAAAGGGACAAACTAAAGTTGAACAAGTCTCAAGTTATTAATCTTTAGGCCTTAATTAATATTCCTACAATAATGCTAGCCATAGAATACCTATTCATATGATTACTAGTTTACTACTTGATAGAGAAGATCAGTGAGTGGGCAAAATTGTATGCATTTATCGGAAAGTCGTGTGCTTCTAGTTAAAGTGGTTAGTTTCTTGATAGAAAGTTAATAGAAGGATGTAACTTGGCAATTTTTTTAGATAGTTGAAGGATGTTTTTTGTTCAATGTAATGACACAAGGATGTAGTTTGAGTTTGAGGTATAGTTAAGAGATGTTTTTAGCCATTTACTCATTGAAAATATTAAGAAATTATATAAAGGTAGAGATATACTTAATATAGTGACACCTTTCGAGGAAATTAAACAATGTCTCTTTAACACAATTACACAAATCGAACAAACAATATTATATTATGTTAGGTATATTTTTAGGTTAGTTAAACCCAACAAATTGATATCAAAGTCGGTGGTCTTACATGACTAGTACGTAGATGACTATGCGTGATAGCTAGTGTGAGACTTAGAGCCCGTTTAGATTGGCTTAAAAGTTGGTCAAATCTACTTTTAAGTCAGTTTTTTATTTTTGAAAAATATTTGACAAATATAAAAAATAACTTATAATAAGTCAAAAATGACTTAAAATAAGTTAGGAAGTGTTTGACAAGATAAAAAATGACTTATAATAAGTTTAAAATGACTTAAAATAAGTCAGAAACCAAAAGTAGGTCTCCCCCTACTTTTTTATTTTTGACTTAAAAGTTATTTCATTTTGACTTTTTATTTTTGACTTAAAAATTACTTTTTTTAAGCCAATCCAAACAGGCTCTTAGATTCATGTTTTTATGCTTAAGGTAGCTTGAAGATGCATACACATGAAAAGCTAACTCTAGGCATCAATGATCATAAATGTTCGATCATGTGAGTGACACACTGTGAATTTCAAAAATTGATTTGAAGATAATAGTAATCTATGAGTCGTGTAAAACTTAGTTGCATGTTGATGGACCGTGTGAAACTTAATTTGACAAAAAATTATTAAGGAAAGAGAAATAGATCATTGGGGGGGGGGGGGGGCGATCTAACTTAAACTAGATAAAACTTAATTGATGTATTTATAAATGATTGAAAAAAGACATAAAGTTACCACTGAAGTTGTTTCAAATTTTCAAAAAGACATCTTAACTTTGCGGGTGTCCTATTACCCTATTGAATAACTTCACAATAATATGTATACCCCATTTTTCACCCAATACCACTTATACAAAAATATTTGTAAGTCACGCAATAGTAGTCACTTGACTCGTATTAAAAGTAATTTTTAATTATTTTT